GCGAGAAGGGGCCGGAGTTTCCTCTTCTGGTTGCAGCGGCAGCGAGCAGCGCTGCAGCGAAGCTGAGAGTTGCGGGCTGCAAGAGGGAGAGGGTGGGGTGGGGTTGTTGTGTGTTGAGTGAATGTAAACAGGTTGCGTTGCTGCAGGAGGAGGACTCGTCTCCCCCTCCTCCACTAACTCCTCAGGCCCCCCCCCTTCGGAGACAACCTCACGACGATGCAGGAGAGATGCTTCGATCCAGCTGGAGACATTGGTGCTAGGGCTGCCCCTTGCTGCTGCGGCGGCAGCAGCTGCTGCAGCAACTGCAGCAGCATCTGCAGCAGCTGCAGTAGCTGCAGCAGCAGCAGCTTCCTCATCGCATTCATCAGTCCTGTGAACGCCTCTGCTATGTAGCCACTCCTCCATCGTCCTCGTAGCACTCCTTGATGACGAGGCACTGCCCTCAGTCCACGGCAAACACATATCCTCCATGCCCCTCCCAAGCCGATCCTGAGTATCCCCCTCCTGCAGCAGCGCATCAAACTCCGCGTCACTGCAAACGCTGACTTCTTCAGGGCCCCCAGGGCCCCCAGGGCCCTCAGCGCCCACAGGGCTCCCTGTGCCCCCAGGTCCTTCAGGGTGCCCAGTGGCATCTAGGGACCCAAGGGCCCCATGGGGCCCAAGTTCTTCATTTGCCTCTCCTTCTCCTTCTTCAGGAAGCAATACTTCTTCTTCTCCCTGTGCAGCCGCAAGGTGTTTTGTGGCCGCAGCGGTTGCACTGTCTTCAGTTGGCTGGCTGCTGCTCGTAAGGCCCTCCCATCCAGACATATTCAACTCCGCCTCTGGGGGCCCCCTTTTAGAGGTCCTCCCTGCTGGGGGCCCCCCTTTTGGGGGCCTCGACAGCTGTTGTGGGCCTCCGGAGACGAACCTTGGCTGCTTCCTCCCCTCCATTCTCTCCCCCGCCCCTGCTGCTGCTGCTGCTGCAAAATGGTGACCCTCAAAACCTGAGAGTCGCGTTGGTGATTGTCTAACTGAGGGGTCAACGAAGACGTTGACATCAGCGGCTGCATGGGGTATCCCGTGCCGCTGCTGTCTCCTGGGTTCTGCTTCTCTCCTCCTCTCTGAACGCATCGGGTGCGTATGCCGCGTTTCAAGAGGACGGCGGTCGGCGTGTTCCTGCTGCACGTGGTGGGGGTCGTCTCCTCCAGCTGGGACCTGCTGAAGCCCCTCCCCTTCTCTGCTGTTGCGTCGCTGTCTTAGGCGGCGGCGCGCTTCTGTCCTTCTCCAGTGCCTCTGTATGATCCGCGCTGCGATGTTCAACACCGGCAGCGACGGCAGCAGCGCGAACCCCCCCAAATCCAGCATCCCATAGCCTGCATTGCTGGGGTGTATCTCCACCTCAGCGGCTTCTGGTAGGTGCGTCATTCTATCAAGCCGGCTGTTGCTGCATGCAAAGCCTTGGGACTGATGGAGCAAACCTTCTGTGGCTGCCGAGGATGGGGGGGGAGGCTGAGGCGTCACACACCTCGACTCCTCGC